CCCCCTTTTCCAGGGCTGGGACAGGAACTTCTGACACCTGACCAGGAACCTTCCTGCTTCGATGGCCCCAGCTGAATGGGACAGTCAGGATTAATGACCCTACTCCTCTCCCCTGCCTTCAGAGACCCTGACAAAGTCAGGCCTCCTTTTCACTGAGACTTCCCAGTCAAAAGCCAACTAGCTGACGACCGTCCCTAGCATCCAGACAAATACACCAAACAATGGAGAGTCTGGATTCACCAAACAAAATAAGTGTTCCCTCCAATTTTTTCCCATCTGTGTATAGAAGAATTTTGTTTTGTGCACCAATATAGAGGTAATCTGATGGATTGCCAGTAGAACCAAAAACCCTATCTATCTATCTATCTATCTATAGAATCATAGAGCTGGAAGAGACCTCAGAAAGTCATCAAGTCCAGCCCCCTGCTCTAGGCAGGACCAATCCCAACGAAATCAACCCAGCCAGGGCCTTGTCAAGCCGAGACTTAAACACCTCTAGGGATGGAGACTCCACTACTTCCCTAGGTAACCCATTCCAGTGCATCACCACCCTCCTATCTATCTATCTATCTATCTGTCTGTCTGTCTGTCTATCTGTGTTAGGTTGTGTCTCCAATACAAAGAAAAGTCAGAAAAAGATATGCAAATTGCTAACTACAATTTGCATATCTTTTTCTGCTTTTCTTCCAAATGAGGCTTTTCCAACATTTGGCCTATCTACACAGGACCAAATGTCAGAAAAAAACCCTCTTTTGGAATATCCCTTCTTCCTCATAAAATGAGGTTTACAGGGATGCCAAAAAAATGCATCTGCTTTTCTGATTTTTTTTCAGAAAAGCAGACGCATTCCTTGGATGTGGCCGAGCTTTTCCAGGATACCTTCGATATCCCAGCAAAGCTCCGTAGTCCAGACATACCCTTAGTCTGTAACTTTAAAGAACCAATGAGTAGTACTGTAGGGCGTGTGCACTCTCTCACACACATACACATATATGAGGGTATGTCTACATTATAGTGTTAATTCGAGATATCTTAATTCGAAATAGTTAACTCAAATTTAAATAATCTGAATTAATGCATCTACACACAAAATGAATTTCGAATTAGCATTTTCCTAATTTGAAATGCCGTGTCCACACTGAGTGGACCCTGATTAGGATTTAAGGCTGGCCGGAACCAGATCAGGGATAGGGCATCAGATCAGGAGTGTCTTTGTGTGGCTCTTGCCGAAGGCTAGCTGAGGCTTGTGCTTAAAGGGACACACATACACACACACACACCCCAGCCAGCCGGTTCTTGCCAGCCTCGCTGCAGGACAGCAAAGCATTTGTGTCTCAGAGTGCTCTGGTTGCCCTCACTTGAGTCAACACAACACTCTGCAACATGGAGCCAGAGCTGCCCCTGGCACTCCGGTGCGTCTTGTGGATGCGATGCTGTCGGCAGCCGGGCTGCACCTGCTGCAGGCTGCTATCTGGGACGTCCATTGGGGGGCTGTCACTATCCAGGAGGCCCTGCGGGAGAGCTTCCACCCTGAGGAGCACTAAGAGCCTCCCTCATCTGCCCCACCGGGGGCTTGTGCCTCATTCCTCCCTCACATCCTTCCACTTACCCCTCCCTAACCCCCCTTCCTGATGTCGAATAAAATACATGTATTTTCAGAAACACAAACTCTGTTTATTTCACAAAACTGGGTGGGGAGATGAAACCCTGGTGAGACTTGGGAAAGGAGGTGGGAGAGGAGAGAAGAGAAGGTGGGAGAGGAGAGGGAAACACCTGGGAGGAGGGAGCTGGAAGGGGGAGGCAAGAGGAAGAAGGGGGAGGAGAAACTCAGGGTTGGGGGTCTTGCTGGCCCTCTTGTCGTGCAGAATCCCCGGGGGAGGGAGGAGGAGGAATGGGTGGGATGAGGGGGGCGGAGGTAGTGGAAGAAGTGGGAGGGGGAGCAGGATTGGGAGAAGGAGCAATAGCTGGGGGAGCAGGCACAGGGGCTAGAGCGGGAGCAGGCACCAGTCTCTGAACCGGGGTCTGCAGGTGATCTCTTATGGCACATCCCTGGTCCAGCAGCTCCTGCAAGCCCTCCTGCTGCAGCTGCAGGTCTTCTTCCACCCAGTCTGGGAGGAGGGAGCTGGAAGGGGGAGGCAAGAGGAAGAAGGGGGAGGAGAAACTCAGGGTTGGGGGTCTTGCTGGCCCTCTTGTCGTGCAGAATCCCCGGGGGAGGGAGGAGGAGGAATGGGTGGGATGAGGGGGGCGGAGGTAGTGGAAGAAGTGGGAGGGGGAGCAGGATTGGGAGAAGGAGCAATAGCTGGGGGAGCAGGCACAGGGGCTAGAGCGGGAGCAGGCACCAGTCTCTGAACCGGGGTCTGCAGGTGATCTCTTATGGCACATCCCTGGTCCAGCAGCTCCTGCAAGCCCTCCTGCTGCAGCTGCAGGTCTTCTTCCACCCAGTACTCCTGGCAGCGGACCTGCCTAGCATATAATGCCAGGTGCTGCTGGTGGTACTCCTCCAGGTGGTGGGTCATCCTGCTGGCCCAGGTGTGGGAATCTGTCCTGGGCGGTGTGGTGTGCCCTGTGCTTGTGTCTGGTGTGGCTGTGGAAAAACCAGAGATGTGCTCAGTTATCTCTGGGGACACAGTGGGGGAAACCCAGCCCCCTCTGCAAGGCAAGGATGGCAGGTCTCTGCACCATCATGTCCTGTTATCCCCAGGAGCGTGAGCTGGCCCGGCTGGCTACTTCAAAGTAGGAATAAGAGATCCTCCGGAAAAGGGCTTTTTTCCGGAGGATCTGGCCAGTGTAGACGCTCTTTTCCGGCTTTTCTAAAAGCCGGAAAAAAGCGGCGGACATTTTTATTTAAATGCCGCGGGGGATATTTAAATCCCCCGCGGATTTCCCTATTACGATCTCAAAAATTACCATGCCCCTTCCGGAAAAGGGGCCAGTGTAGACGAGCCCTCCTCATTCGAACTAGGAGGGTAGTGTAGACATACCCTATTAGATTAGTAAGACATGATTTCCCTTTACAGAAACCATGCTGACTTTTGTCCAACAAATTATGTTCTTCTACATGCCTCACAATTTTATTCTTTACTATTGTTTCAACTAATTTGCCCGGTACTGCAGTTAGACTTACCAGTCTATAATTGCCAGGATCGCCTCTAGAGCCCTTTTTAAATATTGGTGTCATGTTGGCTACCTTCCAGTCATTAGGTACGGAAGCCGATTTAAAGGATAGGTTACAAACCGCAGATAATAGTTCAGCAATTTCCCATTTGAGTTCTTTTAGAACCCGTGGATGAATGCCATCCTGTCCCGGAGATTTGGTAACATTAAGTTTTTCTATTTGTTCAAAAACCTCCCGTCACCTCCCCATCCCCCCATGGATTCTCCTCCTAGACTTCCCCCAGGGACCCAGAACATAGGATGGTGAGACCTCTCGGGCAGCCAAAGCCTCCCGAACAACCCGAGGCAGGCACCAATTCCAGCCCTGTTCCTGAGACCCACTCCTTGACCCTTCCCCATTCCAGGTTCCTTACCTGGTCCCTCCCCTGTTTAATACTCCCCTCTCCCCCCACCACAATAAATACTCCTGTGTTTTCACAAAAGAAAATTTTATTATTTGCTCTGCAGGGGAGAGGGGAAGGGAGGAAGAAAGGGACAGGTAAGAGAGGAAAGGCACACAAGGGAATTTCAGGGGTCCCTTGTGGAGAGGCCAAGGGGAAAGTCTCACATCTGGCCTTAGATGAAATTGTCCCTCAAGGCCTCCTGGATGAGCACAGCCCCTTGATGTGCTCTCCTGACAGCGCTGGTGTCGAGCTGCTTGAATGCCTTGGACAGCCATTAACTCTCTGCCTCCCAACCTGGCAGAAAAGTCTCCCTCCTGCTCTCACACCGGTTGTGGAGCACACAACAGGCTGACACCACAAAGGGGATGTTGCACTCACTCAGGTCCAGACGGGCAGGGAGACTCCTGGACCTCCCCTTTGAACAACCAAACACACACTCCACCGCCATGCGTCACTTGCTCAGCCTGGTGTTGAAATGCTCTTTGCTGGTGTCCAGGCTGCCCATGAAGGGCTTCATGAGCCAGGGGAGCAAGAGACGGGCTGTGTCACCCAGGTTGACGATGGGCATGTCCACCTCCCCAAATTTGATGGTGCGGTTGGGGGGGAAAGTGCTGGTGCGCATCCTTTGGAGCAGGCAGGAGTTCTGGAAGATGTGGGTGTCGTGCGCCTTCCCCGACCATCTGACACTGATGTTGGTGATGTGTCCCTTGCAATCTATGGGGAGCACCATGGAGAAGTCCTCCTTCCGGTTCATGTAGTCCAAGGCCAGGTTGTCGGGGGCTAGGATGGGGATGTGCATGCTGTCTATTTCCCCCCTCCCACAGTGAGGGAAGCCATGGCAGAAAAATCATTGACAATGGTCTCCACATTCCCCAGAGTGGTGACCCTCCATAGCAGCACCTGGTTCATGGCCTTGGCTACCTGCAGGATCACGGCCCTGACAGTTGAACTCCCCAGGCTGGCCTGGTTCCCAACAGAGCAGTAGCTGTCTGGTGTGGCGACCTTACGCAGGGTGATGGTGACACACTTCTGCGTGGGGATGGAGGGTCTCATCGAGGGCAGGAGGGAGCCGCTTCCAGAGCCCCAGTAGGTGGCCTTCTGCACGAGGAAGCTACACAGCCTCTGCTGGTCCCCCCATCGCTGCAGGATGATGCGGTCCCACCAGTTGGAACTGGTCTCCTGCCACCAGAAGTGGTGTTCTGCAGTGACCAGGGGTTTGAGGGACATGTGCCGGTGGTCCAGGCTAGTCCTTGACCTGCTGGATCAGCATGTGGGCAGTTTGGAAATATTGCACCATAAGGCGGAGCATGAAGCTGGTGAGCCTCACATCTCTTTGCAGGAGCTCTGGCTCCAGGGTTTGAGTGTTGTGGCCTCCGCAAGTGCAACCAGAGCACCGAGTGTGAGTTTGGTGTCTCTTGAGGTAGGAGGCAGTGGAGGAGCAGTGTGTGAGAGACAGCTGTAGAGAGGAACCCCTCAGAACTCACGTCACAATTCGCTTCACCAAGCAGCCATAGGAAGTGTCCGTCATCCTGGTTCCCTCCCCACAGTGCTTCTGGGGGCTCTAAGTTCAAGGCAAGCTCCAATAAGTGTGAACGCTTTATTCTGAAATAATTCTGACTAATTTCAATGCTTTCTTGTAGTGGGAACCTGCTATTTTGATTTTGTTATTTTGGGAGTAATTTAGTAATTTTGAAATAATTTCCTAGTGTAGACATGCCTGGAGTCCATGTATGAGGAATTAGGAAGGGGGCAAAGTGCTGAGTTCTACATAGATCAATTCCCCAGTTTCTCAGCACAGTAGCATCAGGAAACGGTTTAATGTCTCCCTGCCAATCAGATCATCACAGAGCTCAGTCAGATTACGTCTATACTGCCACAATTATGAGCACCCCCGTAATTTTGAAATATAAAGGGCTTCCTATTCTGATGTCCCTGTAAACCTCATTTCATGAGGAGAAAGCGATGTTTCAGAATAGCACCAAATTTCAATATCAACGATTTTGAAATTGACTTGAAATGTGCTACACAATTTGTGTAGCTCAGATTGAGTACTATATTTTGAGCTATGGGTGTACTGTAGACCCAGCCTCAGAGAGCCAAAGCACCATGAGAAAACTTTAGGTTCTTCTATGAGGAACAAGCCGGAGCAGCCTGTCCTGGATCTGTCTGGTCCTCACCCCGTAGATGACGGGGTTCAGCATGGGAGGCACCAGGAGGTACACAATCGCAAAGAGAATGTGGAAATACAAGGGCACATTCTGGCCAAATCGGTGTGTGAAAAAGGAGAAGAGACCTGGGATGTAAAAGGCTAAAATGACGCAGAGATGAGAGGTGCAAGTCCCAAAAGTCTTGAGCCGGGCGTTCTTGGTGGGGAGGCTAAAGACAGCCTTGAGGATCTGGGTGTAGGACACAACAATGAAAAACACATCTAGACCAGTGACAAATAATGCCACAGAGAGGCTGTAGTAACTACTGACGCGGATGTCGGCGCAGGCCAGCTTCACCACAGCCATGTTCTCGCAGTATGAATGGCTGATAATGTTGGTTCTGCAATATGGCCACTGCCTCGCCAGGAAGGGATAAGGCAGCATGAGCATGATGCCGCGCAGCACCACAACCAGGCCGATCTTGGCCACCACAGGGTTTGTGAGGATGGTGGAATGTCTCAGGGGATGGCAGATGGCCACGTAGCGATCAAACGCCATGGCCACGAAGATCCCAGACTCTATTGCTGTGAAGCAGTGAATGAAGTACAGCTGGATGAGGCAGGCATTGAAGTCGATCTCCCTGGTATTGAACCAGAAGATTGCCAACACTTTTGGCAGGATGGACGTGGACACAACCAGGTCAGTGAGGGCCAGCATGGAGAGGAAATAGAACATGGGCACATGGAGGCTCAGCTCCATCTTCACAATGAACAGGATGATGAAGTTCCCCAAGATGGCTATGGCGTACATGATGCAGAAGGGGATGGAGAGCCAGACATGAGCCGTCTCCAGGCCAGAGGGGTTGGTGAACTCGGTTGTGTTGTAATATGACATGGAATAGGAGAGAAGATTCCTGACTCCGAAGCAGAAATGTCTCCTGTGAATCTACCTTACGTTCCATATGGGGCCAGAGTCTCAGTTGATGTTTGCAGTAAAGATTTCTGGGTGGAGAAAAAAGGTTAATATGAAACACTCAATGCACCACAGGAAGCTGTTCTCATGGATGAAGCAGATTAGTTACACTTCACAAGCTGAAGATGACATTTTCATTACTGAGATGAACAATTGCCCCTACTAACACCAATTCCACATTTGATGGTGCACTGAGCGTCAGGAACTCCTACACCTCGGGAATGGAAAATCAGTGCGGATGCTGGTTATCCCTCCATGTTCCTTCAGGCAATTAAATTCAGACTAAAAAGTCTGGGCTGTAAGGTGTCTCCATTATACTAGCTGCTCAAATTCTAAGTTTGGAATAAAACAACAAATATTTTCCAAGGACACATCCCAGCTAGTGCACACTCCAGGGGAAAGACCTCATTCTGATCCAGTCTGGCCATTCTCACGTTCTCTTTAATGTTACTAAATGCAATGTAATGCACACTGGAAAAAACAATCCCAACTATACATTCAATATGATGGGGACTAATTTAGCTACAACTACTCAAGACAGAGATCTTGGAGTCATTGTGGATAGTTCTCTGAAAACATCCACTCAGCGGCAGTCAAAATAGCAAACAGAATGTGAGCAACCTTAAAAAAAAAGGATAGAGAAGACATCAAAGATTGTCTTATTGCCTCTATATAAATCCATAGTGCACCCACATCTTGAATTCTGCGTACAGATGTGGCCACCTCATCTCAAAAAATGTATCTTGGCATTGGAAAAGATTCACAGAAGGGCAACAAAAATGATTAGGTGTTCGGAACAGGTGCCATATGAAAAGAGATTAAAAACAATGAGACTTTTCATCTTAGAAAAGAGAAGACTAAGGGGGGATATGATAGAGCTCAGAAAAATCATGACAGGTATGGAAAAAGTGAATGAGTAAAAGTTAGTTACGTGTTTCCACTACATGAGAACTAGACGTCAGGAAATGAAATTAATAGTTAGGAGGTTGAAATAAAACAAAAGGAAGTATTTCTTCACCTTTGAAGTCACAGTCAACCTGTGGAACTCCTTGCCAGAGGAGGTTGTGAAGACCAGGACTTTAACAGGGTTCAAGGAGGAACTAGATACATTCATTGAAGTTCAGTCCATCATTGTCTATGAGCTAGGGTGGGTAGGAATGGTGTCCCTAGCCTCTATTTATCAGAGGCTAGAAATGGGTGATACGAGATGATTCCCTGTTCTGTTCACTCCCTCTGGGGCACCTGGTATTGGCCACTCTCAGAAGACAGATACGGGGCTAGATGGACCTTTGGTCTGACCCAGGATGGCCGTTCTTATGTTCTTAGGGACAATGTTCAAACCCCTAATGAATAAAACCCTGCTATGGGTATGTGCTCTGTTGTGGTTACCCAATCGATTCCAGTCCTCTGCACCATCTAGACCGTCTCCGAGAGATATTTATCTCACAGGCTCTTAAATATCTCCAAGGATGGAGATTCCACAATCTCCCTAGGCAATTTATTCCAGTTTATACCTAGGGGCTGTGTCTAGACTGCATCCCTTTCCCGTAAAAGGGATGCAAATTAGACACATCGCAATTGCAAATGAAGTGGGGATTTAAATCCCCCCCGCTTCATTTGCATAAACATGGCTGCCGCTTTTTTCCGGCTCGGAGCTTTGCTGGAAAAAAGCACCAGTCTAGACGGGGATCTTTCGGAAAATAAAGCCTTTTCCAAAAGATCCCTTCTACCTCTTAAAAAAAGGAATAAGGGATCTTTTGGAAAAGGCTTTATTTTCCGAAAGATCCCCGTCTAGACTGGTGCTTTTTTCCAGCAAAGCTCCGAGCCGGAAAAAAGCGGCAGCCATGTTTATGCAAATGAAGCGGGGGGGATTTAAATCCCCACTTCATTTGCAATTGCGATGTGTCTAATTTGCATCCCTTTTACGGGAAAGGGATGCAGTCTCGCGATCGGGGCTTTTTTGCGGAAAAGACTACTGGGCTGTCTACACTGGCCCTTTTCGGGAACAGTTTTTCTGGAAAAGGATTATTGCCCAAACGGGAGCAGCATAGTTTTTCCGGAAAAGCAAGCGGCCAGTGTAGACAGCTGGCAAGTTATTCCAGAAAAGCGGAATAAGTATGCAGTCTAGACACAGCCAGGAAGTTTTTCCTAAGATCCTTAAGCCCATTGCTTCCCGTCCTATCCTCAGAAGTTAAGGAAAATATTTTTCTCCCTCCTCTTTGTAACCACATTTTAGACACTTGACAGCTGTTATTGTATCCCCTCTCAGTCTTTCCTTTTCCATACTAAATCAACCCAGTTGTGTTAATCTTCCCTCATAACTCTCTTTTTTTTCTAGATCGAAAATTACTTTTGTTGCGCTCTACTTGATCGTCTCCAATTTCTCCACCTCCTTCCTGAATGTGACTCCCAGACCAGGACACACTCCCCTGTCTGAGGCTTAAGTAGTGGAAGAAGAGACACTGAAGAGGGCATATGACAGAGGAGAGGCAAACAATGAATGGTAATGAGTTCATTCAAATGGAGAATCAGAGATCCATTGCCCACCGGTAATATCTATACACATTGAGCATCCAAAGGGCCAATTTTCCAAAGCTGAGACAAATTATTACCAAAATTGATGGAAGGAAAAATTTAGACCGAAAAAAGGAATCAAAATAGGTAGTTAATTAAGAAGACTTTATTTAATAGCTGGAAAGCCACATTACCTGAGCAAAGAGAATGAGCAACTTTGGCTAAATACCCAGTTCAGTTGCAAAGAGAAGGTAGCTATTAGGTGGCAAAAACATCTATAAAAAAAGGAAGAAAAAAGGAAAAAAACAGATAAGTAATATAAATCAGAAGTTATGAATAATTGACAATGAATGCAGAAGTCATCTGGGAAAATTTTATGTTTCTCAGAGATAATTATAAAAATATACGTTAGTAAGTCTATTAAGAACCAAAAAGAATCCAAAAAAAGTTTTACACCAGTTGAAATAAGGTGAAAGGAAAAGTCTTCAAGTTGCAGAAGAGGTAGGTTTGTTCAAGAAATAGATTTTTTACATTAACTGTCAAGAAGGATATTAAAGAGCATCTATAATATAACCTTAGAGGTTTGAATAGCAGGATTAGTAACTCAGCAATGACTCACACATCTCATTCAGAATTAGAAATATGCAATCAGGCAGCACCAAATAAAAGAAAATCAAGATAAAGAAATACAGGACAGTACTGTGTTGTATGTAACACATTAAAATCAAGGGAAAGATTTCAAAAGAGATTTAACAATGATAGCTAACAAAGGAAAAACATAAAAAACAACAAATAGTCTAGTAGCACCTTAGGGAATGTCTACACTGCCACCCTAGTTCAAACTAGGGTGGCTAATGTAGGCATTCGAAGTTGCAAATGAAGCCCGGGATTTAAATATCCCAGGCTTCATTTGCATCTTGCCGGGCATCGCCATTTTTAAATCCCCGTTAGTGCGTACTCCGTGCTGGCGGCTACATGCGGCACGGAGTAGGTAGCTCGAATTAGGCTCTCTAATCCGAACTACCGGTACACCTTGTTCCATGAGGAGTAACGGTAGTTCGAATTAGAGAGCCTAATTCGAACTACCTACTCTGTGCCGCGTGTAGCCGCGGGCATGGAGTCCGCACTAACAGGGATTTAAAAATGGCGGTGCCCGGCAAGATGCAAATGAAGCCTGGGATATTTAAATCCCGGGCTTCATTTGCAACTTCGAATGCCTACATTAGCCACCCTTGTTCGAACTAGGGTGGCAGTGTAAACATACCCTTATAGACTAACAAAACAAGTAGATGGTATCATGAGCTTTCATGGACACAACCCACTTCTTCAGAAGACAGGAGTGTTAGAAGTCCAGATCCAAGAATAAATAAGGGAAGGAGAGAGGGGAGGGGAGAGGAGAAAGAAAAAAAGAAGAAAAGAAATGGGGGAGGGAAAAAAAGAGAGAAAAGTGAGTACATAAGCTTCAACGGGGTAGCCAAGCCTATAACAGGAAAAACTAAAAAAACAACAAATGATCTAGTAGCACCTTAAAGACTAAATAGTTACAAGAGGCTGATAAGAACCATTAGCAACTTCATTGTTTGGTTAGTTAAGTCATTAACATGTGAAAGATAATGTGCAAGCCATCCAATATCCCGGTTCATACCATTTGCATAAGAATTAAACTTGTGAATAAAGTTAAGGTCCAACCCTTCTTTGTGTATTTGGCTTGTGGAATTGGTCTGAAAAAACCCAGCAACTCGAAGATCCATTAATGAATGCCCAGAAAGATTAAAGTGTTCTCCAACAGGTTTCGGTGTATTCCCCTTTCATAGACTCATAGAATAGTAGGACTGGAAGGAACCACAAGAGGTCATCGAGTCCAGTCCCTTGCCCTCATGGCAGGACCCAGTACTGTCTAGACCACCCCGATAGACATTTATCTAACCTACTCTGAAATACCTCCAGAGATGGGGATTCCACAACCTCCCTGGGCAATTTATTCCAGTGTTTGACCACCCTGACAGTTAGGAACTTTTTCCTAATGTCCATCCTAAACCTCCCTTGCTGCAGTTTAAGCCCATTGCTTCTTGTCCTATCCTCAGAGGCAGAGATGAACAAGTTTTCTCCCTTTCTGCCAGACTCCTTCCTAGACTGTCGCTTCCCATTCTGTATGTGTGAAAAAGGAGTAGTCTACAGTATCGGTAGAGTACATATCAAATGGATTAAAGACTGAGCGGAAGAGCTCAGAAAACAGTTGCCAAGGGGCCGTTATGCACGGATGGGGCTGTTACTAGTGGTGTGTTCAGTTCAAGGCCGGATTCTATTTATTACTTTCAGCCGTGATCTGAAACAGAGGCATAGCGAGGGTGTTGTACGCCTGGAGGTAAAGGCAAAAGTTGTGACCCTTCCTGCCCTGCCATTGCATG